TATCTGGGTGTCATCAGCGTACTGAAGACACCGCGCTCCATGCCTCCATATATTTTAACATTGTGTAAGGAAATAACATTATCCAAATTAAAACAGTTTTAATGAAATAAATTCAATGCTTCTCAAGACATCTGTAAAATTTAGACATACTATCTCATACACAGCCACACTCACATAACACAGTGCTCTCATTTATGTACAGACTCTGTCACACTCTTTCATTTTTTCTTTTTTTTCTTTTTTTAAAAAAAAAGACTGGCTTAAATATAAAGTTTAAAGAATGGATCAGAGGCCATAAAAGAGGAAAGGGTGGGATGGATCAAAACCCTGAGGAAAAAGAGAGGGATTTTTTTTTTTTGCTAAAAAAAAAAGCAAGCATGGAAGATAGAACAGAGATAACAACATAAAACAGAAATAGAAGAGAAAAATAAAGGAAAGAAACTAGTAACAGAGGAGAAACCTACTCAGCATTGGGGAACAAGTGATTGATGTTCCTCTCATAGCCAACGGATAGAAATAGAGGAGAGAGCTTTGGTGGGATAGAGAATGCATCGAGGGGTGTGTGTGTGTGGGGGGGGGGGGCGGACTTGTTGTTGTCAGCTACCTTCGAGTTGACCTCAGCTCATGGCAACCCTGTGAATAAGACGTCTCCAAGCCCCGTCCTTTGTCTTCCTGCTCAGGCCCTGTAGGCTCAGGCTCATGGTCTTCCCTATTGAGTCCATCCATCTGGCATGCAGTCTTCCTCTCTTTCTACTTCCCTCTACCTTCCCCAGCATCATTGATACGTCCCAACAAAATCTTCCCAGCTCTGGAACATTCTGGTTGTGGTTCTGTGCAGGCGCAAAAACCATTTATATGTGGCACAGAGACCATGAAGAACAAAATTGCCTATTGCTTGTTTAGATCAGATTATGAATTATAGCCACAAAAATTAACTTGAGACCCATGATGGAGCTCTGGAATTATGAGTGAGTCATATGACATGTGGAAGTCATCCACAACCGACCATGATAGGATGATGCTTTAGATCCCAAAGCATCATTTTATTGTGGTTCAGGAATTGCAGACATAAGCATGTAATTATAGCCATTTTTATCAATAGTAACTCTCCAAGCTCTGCTCTAGATGCT